ATCTAACCTTTCTGCCGCATCAAACTTGAGATCCAAGATGGTGGTTGAAGAATTAATCTTCAAGAATACCGCTTTATACTGCGAAGAGACAATGCAGATGATGTCCTTTTCAGCCATTTTGAAGGGATAGTAAGAGTAATGGAGAGAGTTATGGAGAGAATTTTGGTCTGAAGAGGAGGAGTAATGGAGAACTAACTAGTTATTGCTCATGATGGAGTAAAAAAAAGGGGGAAATTTCCCTCCATTTTCTCCATCATATCGCATTAATGAGAAGTGACTTCTGTTGTTCGGGACCAGGATTCGTCTGGGGAAGAAAGAGAAGGGCAGTTTCGGTTTTTTGCAAAATACGATCTGCTTTTAGTATAAAGCTGACGTGGAGGGGGCTTAAACATAAAAGCTCAACTTTTGGGGTTATTCCATATGGGGCAAAGTACAGGGGGGCTAGTCACACGAAGTTCCCACTTTTGGGGCCTGGACACATTTTTCCCTTTTATTTTAGTCAGTTACGAAGACAATTCTCGATCACATGGCTATAAAAGAACTATAATAAATGCAGTTACCCAAAAACTATAATAAATGCCGCAAAGTGTTATTATATCCCAATAAAAAAGCTTTGGTTTTTAAAATTGTTAATAACGCTAAAAAATCTGAACCTATACGTAAACATTTTTTGCCCTTTTAGTTCATTCCAAAAACATTTTATATACAGTTCTCTCTCATCCCAAATTCCACCCCCACGTCCACGCTCTCTTCTTTATCAAAATTACCAATAATTCTTCAAATGCTTAATTGCACATAAATACCCTATATTTCCCCTACTTTGCACTCATATATCATCACTTATTTTTGACAAGAATTTTGTACCCTGAAAGTTTTTACAACTTGCACTCAAATATCTTAGTTATACAAACGCTAAAATTTCTCTCTGAAAATATTCATGCTAACTGCCATGCTAATTTGACAGCTTTTTAGTACTGCCTAATTAATAGCACAGTCTCTGTCTCCTTGTTAGTCAATTGAGACATTTACGTGCAAAATAGGATAATTGTTAAAGTGGAATAATTTTTCTCTAGTGAGATATTTTAGTAGGATAAATAAATAAGAACAATTTTGTGAAGCGGAATATTTTGATAAAATAACGTGGGATAAATTTTTATAATCATAAAATATATATATTTATGTATTTTGAAGATATAAATACTATTTATGTATTTTAAACTTACTATTATTGATTAATAATTGCTTACAATAATGTTCTTTACTATTAAAGAACTTTTGGTTAGACTATAAGATATTGACAATTATTATTATTATGATGGTCTAATGATGGTGATAACCATAATAGGAAAGAAGTAAAGAAAAAAAGGAAATATAAAAAATAACAAAATAAATATGAGTTCTAGTTTTTTACCACATAGTTCCAAGCTAAAACTTAGAATAATTTGAGAGAATAAAACTCTCATCTTTTTATAGAAAAATGAAAAAAGTGGGATAATTTTGTACCATTATCCCAATTCTAGTTTTGTTAGAGTTCTATTTGACTAACACTGTAAAATTTTGTTCTAGTTTTAGTTCTATATATGACTAACACCTTAAAAATTTATCCCACAGATTATCTCAGTTCCAATTTTAAGTTTTAGGTGACTAACCCCCCAAAGAGAATTATGGGAAAAGCTAGAAAACATTATTTGATCCAGAAATAGTTGCCAACTGTGTCAAAAAATGGGGAAATTTTACAAAATTTTCCCTAGCGCTCAGAAGTTTTATCAATATAGATATGCACCTAACTCAACCCATATAAGTGAAGTATAACTCAGCCCACACAAGTGAAATCTACTCGTAATGTTCTTCTCATGAAATATAGAAGTAGATCACGGGCACGTGCATTATACACGTCCTATAAATTTATTGAAATTAATTCAATGTTGGTAACGACAGCCTTTTGTGTGTAGCTCAAAGGAAATTTTATTCGTGAAATGAAATAAAAGGTGTAAAGTTTTATTTAACAGGTACAATTGAAATATTATTGTTATTATTATTGAGATGAATAGTCTAGAGATCTAAATTTGTGACTATCTATAATCCACCTCGAATCATTTATCATTTGAGTCATATTTTATGGCTAGCTATAATCCTTTTTAACTGTCAGTTCTAATTCGTTATTTTTTATTTGTACCTTGGCTACAATCCTTCTTAACTGTTAGTTCTAATTCGTTATTTTTTATTTGTACCTTGGTTGGATTAATTAAACTTTATATAATTGTGTAGACATTTGTTTATAAAAAAATTATATAGAATTTAGTTATGCTTATGGGAAAATGTTCTAGAAACAACAAAGAGAAACAATGAATATTCAATTGTATAGCTTTATATATGTTTATGGTAAAATATGGATAGAATATTTTAAAAACAATAAATAGACAAAATACCTTCTATTAAATTATCTTTTTACCCTTTCAACCATATTAGGAAAGAGGATATATCCATCACTCATTAGGGGCGCATTCGGTCCGTATACAAATACAGATATGATTCTTACCATATATGTATCCGCTTACCCATCTCAGATACGGATACAGATACGGATATACCTAGGTAAGGAAAATTCATATTCATATCCGTTAAAATCGGATACAGTTATGGATATACATGCGGATATATAAGCAGATATGCATGCAGATACAAAACGGATATGAGAAAACTAAATAATATTGAGAAAAACATAGTTCGTGTGATACAAAAGAGTTCATTAATATGTTCATTATAACTGGAAAATAAAGATTAGACATATTGATCATCAAAATTAACCACAAATCCATAATCTAATAATCGAAACTGTCGTAAGAGTATGACTAATATGTCTTAGAATATTTCGGATACAGATATGTATATTTCACCAAAAACCCATATCCTTAATCATATCATATCAGATAGATTTGAGTAACCATATCCGTATCCTAACGATACAGTTACAGATATTTCCTCTAATACGGATACGGTTTAGCATCCCTACGACTCATCCATATTTTGGATTGCCCTCATTTAGAGACAACAAAGAGAAAAAAGGAATATTCAATTGTATAGACTTTATCTATGTTTATGGTAAAATATGCATAGAATATTCTAGAATAAATAGACAAAACTTCTTTTATTAAATTACCTTTTTACCCTTTAAACCATAGTAGGAAAGAGGGTATGTCCACCGCTCATCCATATTTTGGATTGCTTTCACTTAGATCATTATATAGTAGTACTAGCATTGTCACACGTGTAAGAGGCGCAAAACTTTTTCGATGAATTGCTATATCTCAAAAATACATCATAGGTTAAATTATAATTATAATATGATATCTTAAATTTTAGGAAACTATTTTTTTTT